AGACATTCCAAAGCGCTAGCGTGGCGTCTCGAAGTCAACCGACAACACGAAGTTGCTTTGACTATGGCCAAGGACTATAAAGCGGCAGAAAAGTAGCGAAGAGCCAAGGAGCACAACGAAGCGCTAAGTCGACTGGAGAAAGCCGCTGACTCAGGACCCAGAGGAAATGGATGCTCGGTGGGTAGCCCAGAAATTTTGTTGGTGCAGAATAATGCTGTAGAGTGTCCACCGAGGTATCTATTCGAGATTGGAGGCAAAGTGTGGCTCTACATAGAACGCGTAAATCCCGGTCTCTCCAAGAAGTTAGCCCATCGGTGTCATGGACCATTCCGGATCAAACGAAAGGTCGAAGAGCTCGCGTACGAGTTGGAGTTACCAGACAAGAGCAGATACCTCTTCTATCCAGTCGTGCACATGTCAAGAATCAAGGCGGTAAACGAGTATCCAAATCGACCGAAGACTCGGTTGACGCAAGCTGTGACCGAGGATATAAGGTTTGATTTCGATGAAGAGCTGTCGTAGATAGCTGGGAACCGGATCCCCTGGCAGGCGAATATGAGGTCGAAGCCATCCTCGATGACCGAACACCACTGTCAACGAGCTCTGAGCGAGCCGTGCGAAAATTCAAAGTCAAATACGATGAACCAACTTGGGAACCTTCGTCTAACCTATTTTGTGGAGGCTTGCTGTATGACTATCTGCGGCTGCAGATGGTTCAAGTCGCCGACGAGGGTTAGCGTGGCTTGAGCACGCGTGAAACTGTTCACAGGGCGGCCTGTCATAGCAAACGAAAAAAATTACTGCACCAACAACTTGCATATGCATATGATGATTTACGTGAACGTGATTACGATTTGAAAAATGGATTAAAGAAAGAAGACATGAAAGCGTGTGAACATCGGCTACTGAAAAAAGAATGATCGGGAGTACCCGCTAGAGATCGGCATGGAGCAGACGAAGGTGAAGAGACGAGCACTGAGTGTTCAATCAGACGAGAGTCGCCGAGCAACTTCAGCAAGCACGACCAGACACGTGTCACCACTGCTCTCCTTCCCGTCTTCATCGGGAGGAGATGAGCGAGCTGCCGGCGGAGGAGCGGGAACACTTGAATCATCGCCATCGCTGTATGTAGTTGATGCAGCCGCAGTCGAATCTCAGGCACCGGCCCCGCGATATGGCGATCTTGCCAGTCCGGGATTAACTAGGGAGGTTGCAAGCAAGGATTGGCAATGATGGCCCTAGCGATTTCGCTAGCCATCGCGGCATCAACAGCGCGGGGGCAGAAGATCAGAGCCTCACAATTCCAGGGCACGTAGGTCGTGTTGTACGGGTGATCGAACGGTCGGTACACCCAGTTTGCACGCCATCGCGGCCGATCCACCAGCGCAGGAACTTCCGCGAGCCAGTCGGTTGTCTTGGGAACGAACGGCAAGTTCTCCACTGGATACCAAGGAACGGAAGGCTCGCTGATGAGCGAGGGTTGAGAGGTCGATGCAGACTCCAAACCCCACTTTAATTACTGCAGCTGGAACATGTTCCGGAAGCGGTCTGCCCGAGCGCTGCGTCCACCCATCAAGATACGGAATCTGGCCCTCTTGGTCTTGACGAGATCTTTGTCGCAGTTGGGTTCCGCTTCTTCAGCTGTAAACCCCTTCTCGACAGCGGCAACGAGGATCCAGAACCGACGCTTCCAAAGTGCGAAGCCGAGATCTGGCATGGGACCATTACCACAAAAGCTTGACCAAGGCGACAGATACGGATTCCAGTGGAGCTCGCTTGGAGACCGGGGCAAGCGGTCAAATCCTTCCATGCCGAAGAAGAATGGGTCTTCGGGAAGAAGTTGACGGTCAAATTGCCATGGGTGACTTGGGTTCGTGTAGTCGAAGAACGCGTTCAGCGACTCAAGGGTGACACGTCATCTGGCGTACGATCCGGCAGCACAGTGCTCAGGGCCTGGTCGAAACACTTCTTGGTCCCTTGATCGCGGAACTCGAGATCGAGGAACGGGCAGACCCATGGGGCCAGGTACCGCGGACTGTCTGGTGAGTCATCTGCTGCGGCACAGGAGGATCCGGGTCACTACGGTGGCGACGAGAAGTGTATGTTACTCGCCCGGGACTAGCCCCCTGGGGAAGAAGCGAAGTCCGGCTCAATACAGAACCCGGAGGCAGATAGTGATGTCGAGGAGTCGTTGGACTCGTGAGAACTCTTGATATCGGATACGAAGCTTGAGGCGCCCTTTAAGAAGATCCAGGGGATCCGGAATCAGCGGTCGGTGGAGATGGCTCTTGATCTCGAGAAGTTCTCGGGGAAGAAGTCGTCGAAACACCAGCAATAGAGCCCTCGAGGATAAACCCACAACAATTAGAATACCAGAACGGTAAACGATCGTTGGGCGTGATCTGAAGACCCAGACTCAGCCCTTACACCGGGACAGACTGGAACTGCAAATCGCTTATATAGGCCAACC